TGGTGCCCACGGTGTGCCGGAAACTTTGTTCAATAGTGCGAGGTCGTATTTGAAGTCCGGTTGTAGTCTCCGCACTGTTCGTACCTTTTGTACGCCTGATTCCGTTGCGACGTAGTTTTCTCCGGTTTCGGAAACTTTTCCGAGCCAGATGCATTTCTGCATCCGTAGGTCTGCTTTTGGGAGTTTCTTGTGTTGTGGTGGAAGGTAGAGTAGTGTCTCGCCAAATTCGCAGATTGCTCGCTCGTAGTTTCTTCCCCAGCGGCGTTCAAAGCTTGTGTAGCCGTCTGAGTGGATGACGTAGCGATTTACCGTCCATGCTGCATGTCGTACTATCCAAGGTAGTAGACAGTGCTTTGTGGACATCGTCATGCTGTAGTTGCTTTCAACCTGAGCTTTGACGACGCGGATTTGTCCGAGGAGTGTTCTATGTAGTCGCTCAACGCTTCCTTGACTGTTGCTGCTGTAGGACGGTGAATGTCGTACAGTCATTGAGCCGACTTTAGATGCTGTTGCTTGTAGTAGTGCATTGAGTGTGTCTTCGTTGTCGCTTTGTAGTATGCCGTGTGTTCTTCCGCATTCAAAGATGAATGCTTGTAGGTTGTTGATCATGTAGTCCATCATCGATGGTTTGTCCGGAACCAATACCGCCATGCACAGTTGTGTAGTAACATCAACTGCCGTTAAGACTGGTATGGTCTTCGGATCTTGTTGTGATTTGATGTAGGCAAAATCCACTTGGATGATGGGTTGTCGTGATTGTTGTTTCTTGTAGTTGTCCTGGCGTCCTTTGCCTTGAACGCAAATTGGACACCAATTTCTGTATGGTAGGTGTGTCAAGTTGTGTTCTGCTATTTGTTGTGGAGTGGGCTGCTGAGGTTGTCGTAGTCCTATTGCTCTGTGTGCTTCATGATGCTCGTGTTGTTGTTCCTCATCGTGGTTCTCTTGGATGTACTCGTAGTCTTTCTTCACGGTGAACCTTGTTGTTCCTTTCCATTGAAATGGTAGTGCTGCGTTGCCCATGACTGTCCAGTCATCTTTGCGTTGTGAAACTTCTCCAAAGTTGTTGTGAGTGATTGTAGTTCTGTGAGGTTCAAGTGTGTTGATTGGTGGATGTCCTGGTCCATCTGTTGGAGTGAATAGAGTTGTTCTAAGTGTTGTGTGGTGTCTTATCCAGTGTTCACCTTGTCTTTCCCAGTAGTCTTGGTTGTCCTCCTGTGCTGTGAGTGGTCTGTGGATTGTCTCCTTTGGTTGTGTGGTGTCAAGATTTGTAGAAGGTGCTGCTTTAGGTCTCCATATCTTTTGTGGTGCTCGTAGTTGGATCTTTGATCTGGTTGGTGGTGTGTCCATTAGCCGTTGTGGTTGTGAGCTCTGCCTTGTTGGTGTGTCTTTGATGTTGCTCTGCGTGTAGGTGTTATCTTTCTTCTGAATCTGGTTTCTCCAGTCCAGTTGTCACCTTCTAGTCTTCGTTGTAGTTCTTGCTTGGAAAGTTGTGTTGGGTTCTCTTGTAGTTGTTCTTGCTCTTGCCCTTGTCTGTTGATGATGGTTAGTCGCCAATCATCTAGTTCTCCTTCAGGTATTGGGCAGCCGCTGTTGTGTGGTGTGAATAGTGCTTTGCGTGGTCGTTTGTGTACTCTGTGGCGTAGTCACCATCAAGTTTCCAGTAGTCAGTGTTTCCACCAAGGATCTGTCGTAGTCCTTGGTCTGTGTGGGTGAGTGGTGCGATTTGTTCTTGTTGTTGTACTGCTTTCTCTGTAGGTTGAATCACAGCAATGGATTTTCCATTGTATGTAGTCATTGGGTAGATGTCGAATCCAGTAGGGATGTCGATCTTCTCTGCTCGTAGGTAGAAAAGTCCTGAGTGTCTTATGAGGTGTGCTTGTTGTTGTCCATGTGTGATGGTGCAGTGTCGTGGAGTGAAGTCAAGTCCATATCCTCTATCAAGTAGTCTTGATGCACTGAGGATTGGATACTTCACATCACAAACGTAGTAGGGTATCATGATCCTGAAGTTGTCCTGCTTGTAGGGAACGTACTTGATGCCGTAGACAGGAATCTTCTTGTTTGTAACCGTGTAGAGTTGTGGAACCGATTCTCCACAAGGTCGTAGCGGTAGGTCTGGTGCGTAGTCCTTCGGGCAAACATGTGTAGATGCTCCTGAGTCGATCAACAGGTGGTGGTATGACTTGAAGTTGGAATACATGATGTAGTGTGTGATAGTGTCCTCAATCTTCTTGTTCCTTTGTGGTTGTCTTGCTGCTGCTATGTCAAAGTGTGGCTGTGTGTTGTCTTCTTGTAGGAATTGTTGAAAGCTCTTGCTGTGGTCGTTCCATGATGTTGTGTGTGTTGTTCTCTTGCCAAGTAGTGATTTGGATTTGTGCTTGTGTAGTCGTGAGTTTGCTTGTCTGATGTGTCCAATGGTGAGGTGTGACTCGTTGATGCCTCCAATGTAGTTTGCTGTGTCCTCATAGCTGTTGTCATTCCAATCCCAGCTGTTGTCATAGTCGTAGTCGTTCCAGTTCTCCTCCATGTAGTTCACCTCGTGTTGTCCTTCTTCTCCTTCGTAGTACCAGTCCCAGGTGTCGTTCACATCCTGAGGTAGTTCTTCATTGTTGTCATGATCTGCTTGTTCATTTTCTATTGGATGTAGTTCTTCTCCTTCTCCTATGTGCCATACTGGCACTCTGCAGTCTTGTGCCCAGTGGCCGGGCTTGCCACATCGATGGCATGTTGTGTAGTTGTTGTTTCCTTTCCCTTTTGATTTGCTGTAGTTTCCTTGGCCTTTGTAGCCTTTGCTTGATCCATATCCTTTGGATCCTGAGTAGCCTTTTCCTTTGCTCTTGTTGTATCCTCCTTTGTTGTAGCTGCCTTTGTCGAATCCTTTGTAGTGGCCTTTGCTTCTGTACTTGCCTTTTCCTTTGTTTCCTATGTAGTGTCCTTTGCCTCCATATTTGCCTTTGCCTTTGTAGTTTCTTCCTTTTCTCCAAAAGTTGTCCACGTCCATTGGTGCTGTTCCACCATTGTAGTTTGTGCCAACTGCTGAGCTCGCTCTTGAGAATGCAGATATGGTTTTGTAGTAGTCCAGGATCACAACTCTGATCTCGTTGTAGTTCGTGATCTGTCCAGCGCGTAGTTGGAGATGTTGTTGAAGTGCTCCTTTAGTCTTGTTGAGTAGTATTGCAATCTTCACTCCATCTGGTAGTGCTGTGCCGTTGTCTTTCTCGTAGCGGTTGATGTCATACTCCCACTGTAGGAATTGTTCTTCAAATTGTGCTTCATTGAATGTAGGTTCCAGTAGTTTGGTGAGGTAGCCAACACTGCGTGTTCCTACTGGTAGGCTGAATTTGTTGTGCAAAAGTCGTAGTGTTTCACATCCATTGGCATTGTAGCGGTTTTGTCTGACCACTGTAGCTGCTGCACCTTGGCAGATGTTGATGAGGATGTAGTGTAGATCTCGTGAGAGGTCTACTGCTTTTGCTGCCTGTGTAGGGTCGCGTATGTGGGCTCTGATGTCTGCATCTTCAATTTGTCTTGTAGCTGCTTGTGCTAGTTGTAGCACCATGTCGAAGTCTCGGTCGATGAGTCCGAGGTATGCTTGTAGTTTGAACAGCCACTCTTCGTACTGTGAGTAGTCACCAGTGAAGAACGGTGGTGGCAGTTTGTATTTGTGTAGCCTTTGGACGTCTTCCTGCTCCTGTGTTGTTCCCGTAGTTGTGGCTCCTATTGTCTCCTCTGCTGTGGGCCCGTTGTCTGCTCCTGTAGTTGGTTGTGCTGATGCTGCTGCTGGTTCTCCTGACATGTCGTAGTAGTTGGGCATGTGGTTGCCTGTGCAGTTGTAGTACTTACTGCTGTTACTGGAGCTCCCCTATGTTTAGGATCTCAGCTCCGCTACCACGTTAAAATACGTTGGTACTTTACTGCAAGTGCAAGTGTTGTTTCTGTTGTCACAAACACAAATGTAGTTAGCCAGCACGCACTCTTTTCCTGGTAGACTCAAGGCCTGCAGTCGGGTAGTGTACATCATGCATGCACAAGTGACAAGTAGTGCAACATGATATTTGACATCTCTCTCTCTCTCTCTCTCTCTCTCTCTCTCTCTCTCTCCCCCTCTCTGCATTGCAGCGTCACGTCCCCCCTGAGTTGCCTCGATGTCCGGGCACTGCCCTCCATGACCCTGAACTGTCATCTCACTACTGGCTTTCCCCTTGATTTCCCGTTCATGTCCTTCTCACGTTTCCCATGATGTCCTGGTCATGTCCCTTCCATGCCTGTCAACTCCCCCTTCATGTCCCTGACATTTTCTCGGTATGTCCGCTTCATTTTCCCTGTATGTCCCGTTCTTTCGTTGCGAGTCATTTCCCTACATTTCCCGTCGTGCTGATTGGTTTACTTGTGCTTTGTTTCCCTTTCATTCCCCCTGCACTCCCCTTGTTTTCATTCCTGTCCCTTGCATGTCCCTTTCAGTTCCCCTTTGTTTCCTTTTCAGTTCCCGCTGCTTTCCTGTCATGTCGACTTCCTATTTCCTCCCCGCATTTTCTTGCACTTCCTTGCATTTCCCCTTTGCTCCCCAATATTTCCCGCAAAAAACACGGCTTTTCCAGCGTTTTCGCAATTAGGACGTCCAACAACACAGAGTTTTTCCACATTTTCGGCAAAAGGAGGCAGGAACCCCAAAGCAGCAAAGAGCCGGCAGGGGGAATCGAGCCTGGGACCCCTGTTTCGGCTCCCCGAAGACTACGTTTAGTGGAACGTCATCAAATTGCCGCGCGGTCCTTGGGGGTGGGGCCCCACGTAGCAGACGTCGGGCGGGGGGGGTTGAGAGGGGGGGGGTTAAGGGGGGGGGGGTTATCCTCTATCCTCTCTTAGGTATCCGACACGCCGAGCAATGTCGGCGGACTAGGATGCCTTGATATCACTGCACATTTTCATTTTCGCTCTTTCGGGCCAGAATCAAACATGTTGGCGTTGCAGGGTTCGTGGATTCTTTGGGGATAGCTCGCAAGGCGAGGCTAAAGAAGATCCTCGGTCTCAAGAAGGACTGAAGCGCCGAAGCCGGATGTTGGTCACGGGTTGGTTGAGCAGGTATTCATTGGGAGAAGTGTGGCAACCCGCAAGCCCCCTATTTGCTTGCCTTCAAGGGTCTTCCGTGGAATTGAAAGCTTCTTAAACTCAAAATATGAACATGCCCGTTTGGTTGCCAGCCACCTGTTGATGTTCCCTTCTGGGAGGAAACCGAGAAGACGCCACTCGGTTGGTTCTTGGCCGGACAGAAGAAAGGCCGTCCAGCGAAACATGGGATGAACCTCTGTCTTTGTGTGTGTGGGCGCGTGTGGAAACGAGGGATCAAACCCTCCACATGGGTTGTGAAGTAGAAAACGGTCCCAACAAGGGTCCAACTCCATTTGACACCTTCCCACAGGCTTGAAGCGGTTCCAACATTTGCTCCTTTGGGCTTTGCAGGGGTGCTTTGGGTCTCCTTGAACAGAAACGTGTTCAAGCCTGAGCTTCCTTCGTTGCTTCCTTTGGGTTTACTTTCCCACCAAGCAGTGGAGGTGCACAGGCCTTTTTTTTTTTTTTCTCAAAGGAACGTATCTTCCAAAAGGGGCCGAACTTGCACTTCCATGTTTGTTGGTGGGCGAGTAGGTGTGCCATCCTTCAAGTTCATTGATGGGAGGGTATTTTTGCCCTCCGAAAGCAATGTGATTGGGCTATGGCTATGGGTCCTTCTGCCTGGAAAACCACCACCGATATTCCCCTACCAATATCCCTCCTCCCTCCCTCCCTCCCTCCCTCCCTCCCTCCCTTTCCCTCCCTCTCCCTCTCCCTCGATCCCTCTCTCCCTCGGTCCCTCTCTCCCTCCGTCCCAAGGCAAGAGCTTTTTCGGGATCCGCCTTGAAACGGAAACTGGAAGGACCCGCCATTTCAAAACAGGCCGGTGACCAAATGAGAAGCCAGGCATTCGGCCTGTTGTTGTCATTACTGTGAAACTAACCCCCCAAAGTGGCAGGGATTCTCACTAAAAGGGCGCGTTTCCCCTATGTAAAGTAAACCAGGGCCCTCGTGGGGTTCCCAGTGCTGGTGTCAATCCTATTACCATTGCCAATCGTCCGCGCGGGTTTGATCAGACTGACTTTGACCTAGCATCAAAACAGCCACCCGGTCAACACCTTGTCCTTTGCTCCACGCATTTTGACTTTGAATGAGAGCCACTGGTGTGAAATCTGGCTGGTTCGAACATCACCCTGTGACCTTGTTCAGTGATGTCCAAAGTAGGCACTCTTGTCGGACACTGATGTGTGACAATCAGAACTAGGGAAGCTTCAGTGTATAGCAGGACAGACATCCTTCCTTGTAATTCTACACCAAAGTTTTGGGCTGACCTTTTGGCGGCCGGTTTTGATGACTCTTGTGTGCGTACCAAAGCCACGTCTATCGTTCTGTTCGCCGCTTCGGATTCGGCCAATTCCGCGAGGAGGGATTGGGCGACAGCGGCTACTTCGACGCCACGCTGAAGACCAAGGACAGACAACGGCGGGCGACGGGCTTTGGCTTCCGATGGTTGTCACCCCCAAACCCAGTGCCCAAGGCTACTAGTGGATGAAGCATATGAGACAGCTGGCTCCCAATGGCTTCCTTGCAAGTGTCAAAGCAAAGCAAAGCGAGAAACTTGGGCAATTAGGCTTCGACGCCGCCTGTCCAGCAGCGTGTAGCAGTACTGTTTTTTCTTTTTCTTTCTTCTTCCACATGGTTGACATCCACATCGGGCTCTCACCTTGCCCTTGATGGGCGGGTGGTGTCTTGGATTTGAATCCCCAGTTCTTCTTGAAGCCAAACGGCAAATGGGAAGCTAGCCCTACACTCCAAACCACCAAGCCCAAATCACAAACTAGGAGGAAGCTGAGTGGGTCAAATACTCTGGCCGGGCTTGTTAAACACCGGGTTCCGGGTTCCCAGAAATGGAACGAAATGAAAATATATAAGGGATGTTCCCAACCTGAAACCATCGCAACCAGACGGCCGCATGTGCGATTCCTTGCATGGCTCCGAGTCCTTGTATGTCCTGTGTTAGGGTGGATTTGAAATGCATCACCTTTTGGGCCGATTTGAAGTGAGTGTCCCTCTGGGTGCTGTGATGGAGCATATAAGGAACCTAGATCTGCTTTCCTGGGCTTTAGCCGCGAATCCAGCTGCCTGTTCGGGGATCCTTGGTGAGCTTGTGGGTCCGTTGAAGCACCACGCCGGCATTGGTAGGTGTGGCTTGTTGGTGCTGGCAAAAAATAAAGCCAAGGACACATACTGGAACTAAAACCAACGGATCATCGGGACAAAGGGCTTTCTGGGAAACCATTGCAAGTACGGAATCCCAAACCATTGGTTTTTCGGAGCCAACAAGTATTGTCTCATAGACTCTCACGCATCCCCGTTCGTTCATGTTTCACTGAATCCAAAGAAAGCCTCCCATGACTTTCGCGGGCCGAGGCGAGGGGGGGAGAAAGGAGGGTTTTGCTTCTTTTCAGTTCTGATGGGACTTGTCTGGGTTCTTTTGGCAAGAACCAAAAGAAAAGAGGCCCTTTTCCAGAAGGGGTTGGTCCTTTCCGACAACCGGTTTTGGGGGGGGGGGTTCCCATGGACACTAGTCACTTGGAGGTTTCCCTCAAAACCCAATATCCTACACCAAAAGGTTGCAAAATAGACCCTAAGTGTCCGTCGTCCGGGGAGGGGGTGGGTCTGGGTTCCCATTGCCGAGCCGCAGCGTGACGGATCTGTCCGAGGACAGATTCGACCGCCAGAAGCGCCGGAGCTTTAGGCGCCGGGCGACGTGACACGTGGCTTGGTGTCGGCCTTGTTTGAGGGGGTTGTCAAAAATATGGCCCCTTTTTCAGGCCTGCGGTCTTTGAAAGGGTATTTCAAAAAGGGTCGCTAATTTTGAAAACCTCCCACATGGGTGTTTCCAACAGACATGAGCTCACCCATCCGAGCGAACCCATGAAGCCCCCTTTACTTGGGGCCCCTATTCCTGATTTTCAACAATGGGGATGATTCTGCAGACAAGTACGCCCTCACATGATTCTTTCGATTTCCAAGTTCAGGACATGCATCATGGCAGTTTTTGTAGGGATATTGAAAGCCTTCCAGCCACGCACCGGGACGTATTTCGGCGCTCCAGAATAGCCCCCGCTTTCAGACCCTCTGAAGCAATTGCAGATATGGTATGGGGCACCCTGGGACAAAGCGCATGCTTCTCACTTTTTGTGTTCCTTCTTCACATCCCTAGCACGCTGCAACTTCCCAGTTTCATCACGGCACAATGGATCGTCCTTCTTCAGGTTCATCGAAGAAGGCGAGTTGGTGAAGAAGGAGCAGAAGATGATCAAGAAAGTCCAAGAGAAGGCGGCCTTCGCCTTCGCTTGAGGTGGACCCAGGTCGTCCTAGTTGTTATTGCTTGAACCCATTGAAGGGGACTTGAATCCGTGTCTCTGTGGGAAGCGCCCGTGTTTGAAGGGATCGACAGTACTGAGCCAGGATTGAGAATTCGGTGCCAGACTGAACTAACCAGTTTGTTTTGCCGTTTGAGGTTGTCTTCATTCTCCCTTTAGCCAGCAAACATAGGCCAAGACATAAACCCACAAAGTTAGTGGTACTGGAAGTTTCAGGATAAATCGAGCCCCGGATAGATTTTGAGGAAATGCGGTCTCCGGATGCTTGGTGTCCGCTTGGCGTCCCCTTTGCACCATCCGAAAAGGTAGGTTTCTTTTGTGATTGCCTATGGAACCATCCAAAAAGTGGGAGTTTTCTTGAGTTACCTTCAAGCCATTCGACAAGGTAGGTGTCCTCTCGGTTTCCCTTTCAAACCTCCGAACACGTGGGTGTCGAACCAATGATCAAGCCACAAGGGTAGACTTTAGGCACCAAGTTTCTACGCTTAGGATCGGGTCTTTTGGCCAGTCGAGCCATTTGCCAGCCATAGGTCTCCTTTCCAGTCAGTTTAGTTAAATTGGTTTGGTCCTAATTATTCACTTGTGGACACTTGGGCAAACTACGAAGTCCTTGGTTTCATAGAGTAGTATGTAGAAAAACAAGATCAGGACATGGCCCCTCAAACTGGTTGGTGTCCTGTTGGGTTGTTTTCCGCATGCAACAGTGATTCCCACTTTAGTGGCACACTGATAGGGGTCGAGTGGGAGGGCCTTGATGAACCTTGACACCCGTGGAGTCTTGAGAGAACATGGGTGTGTGTTGAAACACTATAACAACCAAATTGTAATTCTCATTTTGGCTTCCCTATACCAACCTCAAAAGGGTAGCCTCAACAAAAGCAGAAACCCACATGGTGCCTTTTCCTTGTGGTTTCCCGCTATACCCTCAACAAAAAAGCACAAACCCACATGGGTTTCGACCCATGTCGCCCTCCACACCAGGCTCTTGGAATTGACAAGAAGGATGACAAGAAGAAGAAGGAGGAGGAGCAGCAAAAGAAGCAGGAGAAAAAGCAGGAGGAGGAGGCGGGCACCCCAGGTTGGTCTAGCACGGAATGGTGACGGAACACTGAGCGGCTTGTTGTTTTTTTACTTTGCCTTTGTTCGAAGCTGGTCAGTTGGTTTCTTGGTTTCAAATTTCCAGGTCTTGCCTGGGTGGCCTTTTGCTTGCAACTTTCAGAAGGGACTCGCTCAGATTTGGCGGGGTGCAGTTGGTATTGCTTGTTCTGAATCTCTACTGATGCATGGCTTCACGTCATTCGGAGCCTTCTGACGAAGCTATGCCAAGCTTTCCAACCATCAATTTTGACCTAGGAAACTTGCAAAAAGAAGCAATACTACGAGGGAGACAAAACCTGATTGTCCATTGGTCTTCACACCACAAATGGGCCCTAGCTTCAGAGCCATGAGCGATTCGGGCAATTTTCCCCGCTCCAGTGAGTCTCGGCTCGCAATGTTTAAAATGTTTACCACGGTGTTCCCTGCTTCAAGAATTGCAGACCACTCACATGTAAGGGAGAACGTGAAGAATTGGTTAAACAGATAACGAAGTGACCCTTTGGACAAGGTTCTTGCAACTTGGGCAATGCGTTTTCCTTGGCCCAAAGAGGCCAGCTTTCCTGGTAGAAGCTGACCTAGTTGGGTATCGCCCCACCCACGTCCCTATAAATCAACATTCAAGAAAGGGGCGCCATTTTCCTCCCCAGTTTTTGCTGATTTAAGATGCGCACCCAGAAAAAGGGCGAAAAGGAAAAGCACCGGGAGGTCTGGGCGGAGATTTCCAAGCTGCCAGGAGAAGGAACAGCCAGTGAAGAAGATCGAGCCGAAGGTGCTGAGGTGCGGTTAAGGATCATTGTCGTGTATGCCTGGGGTAGGGTTGTACTTCAGTTTGCTGGGTGAACCCGTGCTTGAGAACCCGCCCACTGTCCATGAAATGAGGTTGGTCAAATTTACCAGTAGCCTATAGTCCATCTGGGAGGGACATAGAGGACTCACTTCTTAGTACATGGCCACTGCATTGGGCCTTGATTCAAGATTTCCCCCTAGTGATGGTTTTCTGAAATAATTCAGAGGGGACCTTTAATTCAGACATTCAGCCTTCAAGTAGAGCCTGTGAGTAGCAATCAGTTCGCACATGCCACCCCTTCTTGTGGCCCTTTTTCTGGTTGAAATCCCTTTTGATGTTTTCTAGCAGTATACCTTGGTTGGGTATGCGAACCAATTGTTACGAAACGCTGTGTTTTGCCTTTCAATGGCAAGCGGGGCTTTCCGTGCTTTGAAGCGGGTGGAATCAACCCCCCCGGTTTCAAAAATCAACGGGACTTCGCTGTGGGCCTGTTTCAACCCCACTTTTGTTCCGTTTTTTACCGGCAAATGGCAGGAAAAGCCCTTTTTCTTTCAACTCCCTTTGTGTTTTGGTTGCAATGTCTCAACGGCAGTCTTCGTTGTGAGCGTAAAGCCTGGCCATGGCCTCAGCCGCTCAGTGGCTCAGCCCTGGCAGGCGGGAGCCCATCCCGGAGGTGGAGTGGCCGATGCCTCGGTGGCCAAATCACCCCCTCGTCTTCCCGGGCCGAACGAAACAATCAGTTTTGTCAGTGTACTCTTGATTGGTGGTTTTGATTGGTTTGAGGGTTTGAAGCCAGTTCTAGAGGGTAAATGGAATGGGAAGCGACTCACTAGCCTCACGAACAATACCAGACCACTAATGATAGGGACGATGAAAATGCAACAAAGTAGTACAATAGACAAATACCCACACCATTGCGGGAAACGGGGTACGCTCCGGCGAGGGGGGGAAGGCACTTTCGATTTCCAGCTGGCTACCTTTGCATGGACATTCTCCTCTGCCCGTACACAAGACAATCTTGTCTTGCCTCACAGTGTTTTTTTGATTTTGCCCCATTTTTGCAGATCCAAGCGGCCCCTATATGCTTGTTGTTGGTTCGTCATTTGCGGGGCCAGAAAACGTGCCGACCCATGGCGCGAAAAAAGGATGAGAGCTCAAAAGGAGAACACCTCAAGAACCGAGGTGGGACATTCCCTTCTTGAAGGAGGATCAGTACGGACAGAAGAAGGCGTACACCGAGGCCTGCTCGAGAGAGTTCCGGAAGGCAAGCCTTGTGTTTTAGTGAGGGAAGCCTTCACCAAATTGGACTCTCAGAGCCCAAACAGACTCAACGAGCTTTTTCCGGGCGCAAGGAGAAAGAGCGTGCAGCGCGCAGGTGAGCGTCGAGAAGATCACGCCCTATGTGGAGCACCCCATTCCAATCAAGATCACCACGGAGAAGGAGGTTGGAGCACCCGAAGCCTTTTCCGAAGCCCGTTTGGGGTTGGAATTGGACGATTCATCGGAATCGGGTAGGTTTTTGGATTTGGTTTTGTTTTCGAGTTGGGTTGGAATTGCAAAAACCACCAAAGGTGACAAACTCCACGCCGGCACCAGTTGGATCAGTGGTTTATTAGCCATCGTTTATGGGGCTTGTCCCAACTGCTGCATTTTCTTTTTTACCATCCATGGTCCCCTGATGAAGGCTCCTGGTATAAAGCTCTACCCTTCTTTCGGAATCCTGCACCGGCTGGAAAGGATGAACCCATTTGAATCTGGGGACGCATCGACTGGTGCAGAATTCATCCATCAAAAGCATCATCAAAAGGCAGAATGTGGTCATCAACCCTTTGGGGCAGATTTGAGGCATGTGGTTGGAAGCGGTTGGGTAGTACAAGGTCACTGAGCCAATTGGTTTTGCATCGTTGCCACCATGGTGCAAGTGCAAGCTGTTGCACGTTTTGGATGCCACACCTGCCCCTAACATGGAACCACCGGTGGTCTCCGGAACTACATCTTTCCCTTAGGGATCTTTTCTCAGGTGATTTGGGCACGGGGCGTTGCTGATCATGCGAAAAGCTGTCGGATTTTGTTCGGGAACTAATCCGCATGGCTGAGGCACTTGAGGAGACTTGAGATCGAGCTCAAGGGTACAGCAAGTCAACCCATTCACCATGCCAGGGGATGCAACTCATTTCCAAGGGACTTTCAGCTCTGATTCTGAGCAAAGATGCGCAAACCATCTCATGGTGAGGCAGGTATACAACATGAAACACACTGGGGGTGTCCAGAATCTGGCCATCTTGAAGACACCCTCCTTTACTGCTTTGCAGTTGAAGTCCCAAAACGTCCACTTCCACTAACGAGGGTGTCGGGGTGGGGCTCGAGCGAACCTGAACCTGGAAGCGGGTACCCTCATGCGTGAACGAGGCCCAAAGGGCACCTGGAAGACCCGGCCAAGGATCATGGGGCATCGTTGGTGGACAAGATTTGCATGGACAATTGGTTCCCTTTCAAAAATTCATAGCCACACATGGGTGTCTTCTTTTTTAACAAAGCCTAAAGCCCCATTTTGATTTTGGGGAAGCCAAAAAGGACAACGACATTGTGAACAACTGCAGCCAACTAGTTGCCTCTTTCTCTATGGGACACTCCTCTTTACCAACCCGGGATTCATCAGGGACACTCACGAACAAAACATATGGGTTCCCTGAACTGTTTAGACCACCGGGATTCGCTAAAAATTAGACAAGTCCCGTGTGAGTTCACTATTTACCAGCGAGGGACTCTCGAGACGCGGCCATGTCTTGAGCCTTGGCCCCGGAGCTTTGAGTTCGGAGGCGCCGGAGGCCGCCATGATGCACCTCACTCCCAAGGACGGGCGTGGCCAGCGAGTTGGGCGTGCCGAAGCGGGCGGGCGTCTCCTTCTGTCCACGTTTTTTCTCATTTTTGTTTCAACGTCAACCAAGGCCAAAAAAGGTGTCTGGCTTTTTTTCTCCCGGGTCACTGGAGGTTTGGGTGTATTCCTGGAGGTTTCCGGCTTTTTCAAAGGTAAGAACAACATATCTTTTGGGTGTGAGGGGTGTCACAACAGGCAGGCTCTCCCCCATAAAGAAGCAGTTGGAGCAAAGAGCCTTGAACGTGCCCTTTGAGTGGTTGGGTGAAGAAACGCCCCACCCCCACTCTTTTTTGCGGTTAGAAGTGCCCAACCGGTCACAGGTTTCTGTATGGCTTCTAGGTGTTCTCCGTTTGGGGCAAAAAGTCTGTAACCTGGGCTGGTTTCTATTTGGGAGTCCTGGTTTTTATTCGGGATCCCTCATGGCAACCGCAACAAGGTCCTCAATCAATGACATGCTCATATGGGCGTGTCTTCTTTTCTGGAGCCCCTTTTGTTTCTTTAGCGGGAACCATTGGGAGGTCCAGACTCAATGTGAGTTGGGTGCTGCACAATGAGCCATGCCCCCCCGCCCCACGTTTGGCACATTTTTTCCGAATAGCAACAGCAATTCAGGGACTGGATCCAATCATCGGGTTCCAGCTTGCATCAAACAATCATGTGCGTATCATCCTAGAACTTATTTGAGTCTGTCTCAAGATAGGGGAACCTGCAAATTAGAATGATTGCATTTTTGTTGGCTTTCAAACCATCCGACAGGGGCGCCTTCAACGGAGACACACCTACTTGTTGGAACCCATTTGCGGGGTCGCCGAAGCAATGAGTGGCCTACCCTTTGATTTGGGACGGCCTGGAGAAGGGAGGTTCCAAGGAATTAGTGTTTGGGCACTGCTGGGGGCCTATTTCACACCAATTGGTTTGAACATGTTTATCCAGAAATCGGCTTGGATGCGCTTCTCGCGGATTCTGCCGTGTTTTTTTCAGTGTCGCTTTGTTTTAGTACTCAGAGAGCTCTGAGTCTCTGTTTACATTTGTGAGGGGTGAACCCACAAAAGTCACATCCAAACCATTTTCTCGAGTTTAAGCTATCAACCCTCTTGCGGCCAGCTTGAGAGTCCAGATCCATTTTTGGGCGGTTCGGCTTGCGCGCTCGAGTCCTGTTCCACTCCCTCAAGTGAGCAATGCCCAACAAACGCGCATTGTCCATTTTATTTGGTTCTACCTGGTTTCGCGGGGACGCGAGTAATGCCTACCCTTCCTCCATTAACAGAGCATGTGTGGGACCCGGAAGATCAGTTTCCTCTTGAAGGTAGCCACAATGGAGGGAGGGTACAGTAGCCTTTACCATCTGAGCAGAGCCAACAGTCAACGGGCTGCGGGCACTCAGGTTTCTTCAACCAAATGCTCCGCGGCCACCTTTGGAAGCCAAGCGAGACTCAGGGATTTTCCTCTGGATGTTCGGCCAGGTGGTGTAGCCACCAGAAGGTAGCTGCTCTTTTTTGCTTGTCGGGGAGCAGCGAGTTTATACTTTTTCGGTTGCAGATCCACTCAAGAAGTGAGCCCAGCGCAAGGATCCACGGCCTGGCTAGCGGTTCACGACTGAACCCGGATGAATATCCCCTTGCCCTGGAAGAAGAGAATCCTCACTAGAGAAGGCCGCCTCTGATTCACAACTGGGGTGGCTATTAATCAGAGTTGAATGTTATTGAAAGGGTATGGTCATGGACGAGTTTTGATCATGCGGCGACGTTTCGATGTTGCGTGAGCAGCCACATGAGTAGCACGGTCATCATATGGGGGACCAGGTGGCTAGAAAGCACATATCCACGCAGCCGAATGAGCCGGTGATAGGTCTCATGACTTTGACCAGCATTCCCAGGTCTTTTTGTTAGCTCTGATCCTTTTCTAATTCAAAGTTTGTTTTGCTTCCAGCTTACAAGGCTTACAAGGCATGGCAGAGATCGCAATGCCAACCTGGCGACCGGTGACATGCGGCCGATCAATGCTGCGGCCTGGGGCCTACGTGGGTCCGCCCCACCCACTTCCCGGCGAAGGCTCGGCCTACCGGGCCTACCGACTCGCAGGCGCCGCTGGCGGGCTGGCGGCCGTTGCCTCACGGCGGGGGTTGCGCCGCTGCCGCGGTGAGGCGGAGGCTTTGGAGACGGAGGCTTTGGAGACGGAGGCCTGGGAGGCATGGGAGGCGAGGCCGGAGGTTTGGGTGGTGGCGTTGACTGCACTGCTGGTGCCACTGCTCGGGATGCTGACCTCCGGGGATGGTTTGGTGCTGGAGGTGGACGGCAGCATCCATGAGCTGGCGCGCGCCAGCGGCGACCGCGGCCTGTTCAACGA